GGACCCAGAGAGTTCTAATGCACAGATCTGTGTCATCTTGGCGGGAAGTGGCCAGTGGTGTCTCACAAGGGTCAGTGCTTGGTCCAATGCTATTTAATATCTTCATCAATGATTTGGATGTGGGGGTGAAGAGCTCACTGGCTAAGTTCGTGGATGACACCAAGTCATGGGGAAGCATGGTCACGCTTGAAGATAGGTTGCAGATACAGCTGGACCTAGACAGGCTGGCAAGTTGGGTGGACCGGAACCAGATGAAGTTCAATGTCGAGAAATGTAAAGTGTTCCACCTAGGAATGAACAATCGCCTACACACCTACAGGCTTGGCAACACCAACCTTAACTGCACTACGAATGAAAGGGACCTGGGGGTAATAATAGACCACAGCATGAACATGAGCCGGCAGTGCGACCCTGTAGCCATCATGGCCAACAATACCCTGGCATGCATCAATTGATGCATCTCCAGCAAAGAAGTGATTCTCCCACTCTGCTCAGCATTGGTGAGACCTCAGCTGGAGTACTGTGTCCAGCTCTGGGTGCTACACTTTAACAAGGATGTGGTAAAGCTTGAGAGAGTCCAGAAAAGACTCAGAGACTCGTGCAGCAAGCCATACGAGGAAAGGCTAAGAGATCTGGGACTCTTCAGCCTGAAAAAGAAAAGGCTGAGAGGGGACTTGGTAGCAGCTTACCGCTACATCAGAGGTGTACATCAAGGGCTTGGTGTAACTAGGAGTAATGGTCACAAGCTCCTGGAAGACCATTTCAGGCTTAATATTAGGAAAAACTACTTCACAACTAGGGTGTCTGGAAGAGGAAGTGGGAGAGACTGGTGATGTGATAAAAGAGGCCCCATCCATTGAGGCAGATCTATCCCCACCAGGCCATGTTTACATTCATTCTTATCTATAAGGAGAGATTAAAGGAAATGCTGAATCCAATGTTCACAAAGGAAATTATACTCTGAAGCTACAGGCTGGATTCTTCCAAGCCTGTGCCTGGATCCACAGAATAACAAACATATCCTCCAGCATCTGTGTAAGAGGCATTTTCCATAGGGAACTTTGGCCTTGAATACTCCCAGAGGATATTTGTGGGAGAAGCTTGACTTTCCTGCAAAGGGGAGGGAAAGCAGCCAACTCCCCCCTGCCAGTGCTCCACTTACATGTGTGCCCTTGGTACTGTGCTGGTTCCAACACTGACAATGCTTCTGGTTTTATTGAAAGTCTCAAAATGTTTGATGGTTTTTTAAATGTTCTAGTGTGATGCAACTGTGGGAGAATTTCAGGTTTCAGTTAGAAGAAAAAGTCACTTTCTACCTCATGAGGGTGAGGAGGAAGCTTGGAAAACAACATGCCAGAAGGTCAAAACCTGAAGGCAATGCAAACAAATGCACCACTGGTTTTCAAGCCAGATTTCCTGACTTTTGGGCCTAACTTATGGCTCTTTGGTGTTGGTGCTGCCTAGGGTCTCTTTTTCTAACACAGACAGATAAGAGATAGATCAGACTGCTCAAAGCTGAGCAACCTAATTTTTATGGAACTTTAGAGCCAGATACAAACTTTGTCACTTTGCTGTGGGTCAGAACAAACTCTAGAGCATGACAAGTCAGTGGCTGGATAAGATTGGCTCAACCATGTTAGGATCATATCCAACTCCAAGCCAGTTGAGCATGAGTGACTGTAACAGGGAACCTACAGCTCCTGCTACTGAGACAGAGAAAATGGAGGCAACCTGTGCTTAGGCTAGCTATAAAAGAAGAGCTAGCTATAGTGTGATAGGCAGCCAGAGCCTTTTAAATGAGAAGTGTCTATTGCTGTATAATAGGAGAGTAACTGGGGGAACCTTTTCCGTATGAGTTGCAGTTCTCTTAAAAAATCACAATAATCTTTAATCTGCTAATGGCAAGAGCTGAGCATTTCCAGTGTTAAATGGAAGCTTGGTTCTGGGCATCACAGTACATTTTAGCTGCAGCAGATGTTCTAGATTGATAGAACACAGATGCATCACAAGCAGGTCCCAGGAGGTGACCCTCCCCCTCAACGCGACATTGGTCAGGCCGCAGCTGGAGTACTGCGTCCAGTTCTGGGCGCCGCACTTCAAGAGGGATGTGGCCAGCATTGAGAGGGTTACAGGACCTGAACCTGTTCAGCCTCCACAAGAGAAGGCTGAGAGGGGATCTGGTGGCCACCTGTAAACTTATCAGGGGGGACCAGTGGAGAATGGGAGAGGCCCTGTTCCCCCGAGCACTACCTGGAGTAACTAGGAACAATGGCCACAAGTTGATTGAGAGTAGGTTCAGGCTGGACATCAGGAAGCACTACTTCACAGTCAGGGCGGCTAGGATCTGGAACCAAACTTCCAAGGGAAGTGGTGCTCACTCCTACCGTGGGGGTCTTCAAAAGGATAAGCACCTAGTTGGAGTCATTTGATCCCAGTACTCTTTCCTGCCATGGCAGGGGGTCAGACTTGATGATCTGCTCAGGTCCCTTCAGACCCTACCAACTACGAAACTATGAAATAAGAGCAGTACTAGCTCTGCTGCTCTAGGCCATCCTGTAGGTGGTCTAGGAGGGTCACATGACTGGAAGAGGCAGGGCTCTGGGGCATATAAGCCAAGGCCAGAACCAGAGCGAAGCATCTGCCCCTGGAGGCTGAAGGAGAAAGAGCTCTGCAGGAAGATGCCTGCTGTTTTGAAAAACTGGGTGAGATTCTGCTATGCTGGGGGGCTGCAAGTAGAGGGCTGAGGGCTGGTAGGGAAGTGGAACCAGTATGGAGAGCGATTTCCCTAGAGAGCCAGCACGCTTAGAGAATTAAGTTGCAGTTAGTGTACTTGCTTATGTGTCATGTTTGAGTTTCATAACCAGTGGTTTAGGTGGGACTAGAAAAGGATGAGCAGGGGTCTCAGTGGTGCTTGAGAGGCATGTGGCTGTCTGGAGCTCTGCCAGAGGGTAAGGGCTTGATAGTGGCAAAAGAGAGAGAAACGCCTGGCAGAAGCAAAGCAATTGTCAAGGACCTGCAGGCCAGAAAGGGGCAGAGCTTGGGTCAAGGCCAAAGAGACCATCCAAAGCAGTGGGGGCAGACACTGGGAAAGCCAAGGCCCCAACAAGGGAGTGGAGGCCTAAGGCAGCCTGGTGGTGTGCGGCAGGGTGTCCACGTAAGTGATGTCTAGAAACACCTGTGAGGCATGAGTACAGCTGTTCGGGAGGTCTGGGTGCTGTGATTAGCTCTTAAGGTTATAAGTAGCAACACCAACGTTCATGAGAGATCTTGCTTGGGGAGCCCTGGGGCAGCCTCCTTTTCTAAAGACATAACAACATCAAGGTGTGGCAGATGAACTGAAGGGGAGATTACCCAAAGGAGGCAGAGAGGACAAGGGCTGAAATGGTACTCTAGGGGCATTATGGCCACCCCAGGGATAGGACACTGTTACAGTGATCCTCTTCTCTTAGATCTGAGAGCACAGATGACTTCTGGTCAAGATGACCCATGGGCAACAGGCACTGCTAATTTAAAAAAACTGCTACAAGAAGCATTGTCATGGCTCATCACTTTTATAATGTTACCCCTCTCTTTGCCAGTCTCTCCTAACTTCCCATTCTGTATCGAACAGAAGGTGTTTGTCTTCATTTTCAAAGCCTCTCACAGCCTGCCCTACCCTTGCCATCATCTCATTTAGTATGGAGATGTGAACTCCCTACTTGGGATTGGGCCACAGTGGTCAGCCATTATCACTCATGCATCTGTTTTTCAAAAACGTGTTTTCTTGCTTTATGTTTCCTCCACAGGAAGAAGGATCTTCCCAAAAGCATTCACAAAGCTACAATGCCTGCCACACTGGGATCCTGATACAAACAGCAGATGCTAGAGGAATGGATGGCTAGAGAGACCACCCTTACAGGTGCTGAGACACTACAGGACAGCTCTGGAGGACTGGTTTGTTGAACAGAGGCATGCCCAGTTACAGATGGTTATGAACTGACAGGAGTTAACCTCAATCAAGGCTAACACTTGGGACACCAACGCAAACATGGAGCAAGGCCTGGACAACTGGGAATTTCTGTGTGTAGCTACAGGGCAGGACAGAGGGGTGCTGGGGAAAATGACCATCCAAATATGACTCAACATAGGCTATGTGGGGACTTGGCTTCACCCTCCCCAAATACAACACTCCTCTGGTTGAACAAGGCTCATACAAGGAGTATTCAGTTTCTGCTAGATTGTGTTGCTCAATGCATAGATCTGACCATTACTTCACTTTCCAGAGAGACCATTCTTGCTCTTGAGTGTGAACAATAAGCTGTAACATTAAAATCCTTCCCCCAACCACATCCTCTACTCCTTCTCCCCATCTCCCCCCTCCCTCAGCCTTCACTGCTATGCTCATGAAAAGATACAGACCTCAGCTCCTAGACTGGACAGGCATTGAAGAGGTTTCAAACTTTCTCAGCAATTCCCTGCCTGCCTCACTCTGAAAGCCACATGAACCATCTCTCTGTTGCCTAGGTGAAAATAAATTACTCACAGCATCATTTCTTTGTTTTCCCAACACAAGAAGAACTTAACACTTTTTCTGAGAATGGCACAGGAGAGGAAGTGGGTTTATGTTCTTTAGGCCCTGTGTAGCAGACAGCTGCAGAATGAAGAATGAGAACAAGACGGTTCACGATTCAAGGCATTTATTGGAGAAAATGGGACTCTTGAGAGACCTGAACAGGCAAGCTCTGAGGCTAGTGAGGCTCCTGCAGGCCTCCAAAGTCTCACTATGGTCCTAGCAACAGGCACTATAAGCAGTACACTAGGGGTTGGTTCCTAACTTGCCATCTTCACTAGCTGGTACCCTGCTGCTGAACTCTCTCTGCAAAGTGCATTTGTTTCAGTGTTGTGGAGTATGGAGGGCACTGACTGTAAAACTGAGATCTGAAGTGGCTCATGTACGGCTAAAATCAGACCAGGCGGCAACAGGGCCCTGAGGCCCAAAAGGAGTGGAAAGCAGAAAGCACTACTCACAGGCCTGGAGGACCACAAAGGTGCTCTCTGAGTCACTGGGTCTTTCTGATACTCCTTAGGTTGGAGACCTCAATGTTCCGTACGTCTCTTAGACCCAGAGAAAGCCTCTTCTAGAGCAGCATCCAGCTGAGGCCTGGCACACTAACTCAGATGAACAAGAAGCTGCCTGTCCTACTTGGAACTGGGGACTCTCTGAAGCCTTGTGTGCTCTGTACACTGGGAGATCTTGGAGGAGGAATATGCTTCAGGAAGACTGCAGTTGGGTGCTGCAACTATGGCTGAATGTTCAGGTCCCCTATTTTCTTCACAGCATCAGCCACGAGGTCACAAGCTTTCTTGTGCTTCTGCCAATGCTGCACTTGGCACTCCCTACAGAGGGGAATGGGACAGAGAAGGATTTTAGAAAGGAATAGAGTGGAGACTAGATCCAGGGTTTGGGATGGGCTCTGGAGGCCTTCCACTCTAGCCTAGTAGTTCAAAATAGGGCTGGCTAATGCCAAAAAAATATTACAGTACCATCTTCCTGTGACTTGGCCCACGTGAAGCAGGGGGTCTGCTATAATGCCCATATTTACAAAGCAGCTGACATTCATTTGCCTCCTTGCTAGCCTCAGGCATTAAGGGCAAAGAGACTTCAGGTATATGGGAAATGGGGCAATGCATGAAAGATTGCTTTGTTGTAGCTTTTATCATTGATAACACAGAGGATGCCGAGCAGTCACCAGCACTATACACAATCAGCATAAAATGCACTAGTCTCTTTATGAGAAGAATGAGAGAGCTCCTGGAGAGGCTTCTCGCTTGTCATGCCAAGGATCCCACAGGAGATTCAGTGGGACTCAGCGTGGTACACAGAGAGCTGAGCAGACAGACCAGCAATGTTGACTGGGAGTTTAGGGGTTATGAATTTCTACACTAACTGGATACCCGGTGACTCTCATGCAGCCCATGTGCCAGAGTGAACACATCAAGTACTGAAACTACCATTATGGCAGCAGAGACTGCAAGAGCCAACATCATTCTGCTACCTAACAGTGAGCCCTGCCTGCCTCAGAGAAAGGACTGAGTCACATTGTGGGCATGTCCTGATCCCCCAGTATAGTTCTAATACAGCTACTCTCAAGGGATAGGCTGGAAACCCAGCTAAGCCCTGAGGGCAGCCAGGAGCCCTGACAGATCAAACGCTGCATGGGGGCTTTACCGTTTGCAGTACCACTCGTTCCGGCAGCGAGAGCAGCGCTTTGCTGCCTCAGAGCCACACATCCCACATTTGGGTTTCTCAGGGACGAGAGCCTCCATCACGTCCAGGTTGTACGTCTGCGCCCATCTAGTTTAGGAAAGAAAGCAAAGGAAGTGCCCAGACTCATTCACTGAACTAAGAAAGGGACAGGCCATATCTATCCTGAAAGCAGCCCCTGGCATAGAATGGAGGCTGCAAGACTTACATTACTACAGACCAGCCCAGACCAGGCTAATGTTACAGGATCTCAATCTTGCTGATATGAGAGACTTATCCTAGTTGCTTGTTTGTGTGAGGCAGCCCCTTGCTAATAGGGTTGATGGCCATGCTGGGCCTCTTGCACTGGAGAGCCTTGTGAAAGGAGGACTTGAATAGGCTTCTGTGGAGCAAAAAGCTCAGTGCATCTGAGCATTCTGGGATGAAGGCCTTACCTGCATGCCTGCTGTTTCAGCTCTTCTTCAGAGGGGCTGAACATGTGCTTCACTTGGTGCTTGGCAATTGCCTGCCATTTCCCTGAGTTCTCTTTGATGATGCGGTCCCATATGATAGGAACCTGTTGGGATAGTGGAAGGGGGAGGAGGGGAGAGGAAGTCACATACAGGTGTTATAAACTGTAATAAAAGCCAGGGGACAGATCTGTGTATGTGCATAGGGAGGAACAAGCTTAATGACAGCTCTATGTGTACACATACACAGAGAAGATGAAGAAAGATGGCAGATCCCTGGAAGCAACATCAGTATGCTCCTGAGAAGAACCCTGTCCTTCTCTCCACTTAGGAGGCCACAGCGCCTCCCTGCCAGCTGCATGACACTGCTCTACTAACATCCCCTCTTCTGGGAGACACTTTGCTGCCCATGACCTGCTCAACCTTCCCACTTTTGTTTCCTTAAATCCTCCTGATTTCCACACCAATGCCCATAGCAATACCACTTCCCTCTTTCTGATGGAGAAAGAGAAGATTCCTTCAGCCAGCAGAGGCAATTAGCATTAAGCAAAACCAGGCTACATCTCCCTCCAAGTGCTTGCCCTGCAGCCTTAATGATAGGGAGCATGAGATCATTACTGGAGCTTGAAATAGTGCCCTAGTCAGTACCATAAAGTGCTATTACCAAGCTTGGGAGAAAGAGGCCCAGCCAGGGGCTTGAACTCAGCAGTCCAGAGCCTCCAGCCTGATTTGGTTTTTCCCCTGAAGCCAGAACTTTTTCCACTCATCATTTTTCTGAACAGACATGGGCAGGGGAGGGCCCTCTCCATGTGAAAGAGTAAAAACTAGCCAAGAACAGCTTGAGCTCCAGAGGGAAAGCTGCTGCCTCAAAAATGGAGCTGCCGTCTCCACACTGTAAAAACAGCTGTGCAGAGATGGAGAGAAAAGGGCTCTTCTGTGAGTGCAACAAGTGGAAAGAGCTCTTTTCATCATGGCTTGGCTCAGTGACAGTGGTGAGTTCATTGCTTGCTGGGGAGAACTTGCATCCAGCGTGTGAGTGCAGCTGGCTCCACTCAACCCACTTGGGAGGCTGAATCCCTCTTACAGGCAGGTTAGAAATGCAAACTTAAAAGAAGATTGATGAGGCTAAGACTGAAGCACATTTAAAGGCCAAATACAAACCCTCCAGAGTGATGGCTGCCAACATCACTGGCTTGCTGTGATCAGCCCAGATATGGGAGTTAATCCACAACTACCTCCACTCCACCACTGACAAAATTCTCATCTCCTATTCCTTTGCTTGCTGAACTTCCCAGTCCCAGCCTTCTGGACTGTAGCCCATGTTTAGTAATGCTGCTGTTTTTTCTCCCATACCAAGAAGTATGACCAGCACACTTCAACCTCATCCAACTCACCTGTGACCAATTCAAGGTCTAGGTCAGATCCACCTTCATTGTGAAAGCCCTAGCCCTGATCAGATTTGCAATGTCTCTCTCCCATTAAGCAGCAGTCTTCTCTGACCCTTTGCACATAGTTACCAGTACAGGTACAAGAGCCTTCATTTCTGCAGCTCCTGCCATCTGGGAGTGTCAGCTGTGCCAGCTCTGTTCAAGTTCATTCTGAACAAGCCTGTCTTATCTTGGCTCACAACTTTGGGTTTCCTTCCCCTCCCCCCAGATATTATTTCAGTGTTCTTTCAAAGTGTCTGAGAACACGTTTCTCTGCAGGATCTGTATAAACTCTTAATGTATGCGTCACAAAACCAGCAACCACATCCCTTGAGAACCCTCGGTTCCTCAGACTTTGCAGAGACTGGTTTGGCTCATATCTTTACTGCAAATGCCCACATAGTTGGATCACTTGAGTGGTACAACTATTCTGGCGTTCTCCCTTTGAGCAGAGAACCAAGTTTCCGAGACTAAGGTCTATAATAAGGGCCTCTCTGTTTGGGGCCACAGTAAATGGAAGGGAGATTAAGAGTTATAACAAATAAATTAAACAAAGAGTTAAAATTGTCAAAGCTAGCTGCTGCCTCCTCTATTTAGGCACTTCATCCAGAAACTCACTAAAGCCATGGTGTTTGCTTGTAACACAATGTTGTACCATGAACTATTGCCTGTTGCCTTGCTCCCTGCTCAGCCAGTGCTACAGTATGAAGCAAGGAACACCCAGTCAGAGAAGAGAAAGCAGGGCACTGGGGTGGGGAGAGATTAGGAATCTGTTACTGTGGACGTGTCTGCACATCGCCCTACAGCGACACAGCAATGTGCTATGTCACTGTACAGTACGCTACAGCGACATAGTGATCACATGGGTCTACATGTGATCACCAGCTACGTAGCTATAGCAGCATGCCCCCCAAGTATAGCATGCCGCTACAGCGACATAGCTTGGAAATTTACCCATGCGCAGCATGCACAATGCAGTAACAGCCCATATTGCTCCATGCTTTAGTATTTCCAAAAGGAAGTACTAAAGCATGGTGCCATAGCACTGTCATCACATGGCAATGTGTAGACACATCTTGTATGTAAATACAAAAGGCAGGTATGAGCTGAGCCATGGAGCTATTTAATTTGGCAGTATTTGAGCACTTCACACCTATCAGGTATTTACCCTCACTACCCCTCTGAAGCTGAGCAGTGCTGCTATCCCCAAAGGATAGAGGTGGACTGAGGCAAAGAGTCTGAGTGACCTGTCCACACTGACACAGAAAATCAGTAATCAGACAGGAACTGAACATAGCCCCCACCCCTCAAGTCCTCGCCCAGCCTTCCTCTTCATATTCCTATGTTGTTCCTGTGAGTTCCAGTGACTCCATCCTTCCATCTCACCATAAGTCAGACCAAGGGCAAGCTCCCCAGTTCATAGCTTCCTGCTTGGTCTTTGGGGATGGCATAGCAGAGGCCCACACCCAGACAAGGAAGCAATGACTGCTGCTGATGTGAGTTAAAAAGGAGTGCAAAACCCAGGGCCAGTGCTGGGACATGCCTTCACTTTCTTCAAGGCACCATGTCCCCCAGTGCTGTGAGAGCCCACTGAGCCTTCACTGCTGGGAGATGGGACTATGGAATGACAACATGGAGCAGAGAAGTGAGACTGGGATGGAGGAGAGGCTAGCAGTGGATACCTGCTCTAAGATGAGGTCCTTTTTGGGTGGAACAGGCTCTGTCACTGCAAGGTGGCTCAGAAATCTCTGCATCTCCACCAGATTTGGCAACTGATCAATGAGGACATCAGTCAAGAATGTACGGAGCTGAAACAGCAGCGAAAAGAGAGAGTGACTGGAATGATGTGAAGCAAAAAAAACATCCACAAGACAGACTAGTTAAAAAAAAAGCTGTCAGAAAAGTGGCCCCCATGAGTACTGTCTGTAAGCAGCCTAACCCTTCTTAAAGCAACAAAGCCAATGCTCTGCACCTCACTAACCCACATGCAAAATTCTCACTAAGGAGGGAGACTGGCAGCCTTGGTGCCCAGACCCTAGTTCTCCACAGAAACTGCAGCTACAATGCAAGCTTCCCAAGCCAGATTGAAAGGGACTTGCTGTCTTCTTCGTGACCCTTTCAGGCTTTGGCCTCTCTTCCAAGATTTGTCAATAAGATGCACATTTGTGCTAAATGGTGATAGATTTGCCTCTACAACAAGGGGACTTGAGAAACTATCTTGGAACTGGTGACTGGTGGGAACTGGTGACTTGGTATTTTATGACTTGTGATGAAGACAGTGGGTATCAGTGAAAGTTCTGCGGCTCCCTGGTCTGGCAGTGTGGTGTGCCCATGCACAGACTACAACCTGAAGTCTCATACCTTTAGGAGCTGGCTTTTACTGAAGCTATCAAAGTTGTATTTCCGCTGGCATTCTGGGCTCAGGAGGAGGTTATAGAGGGCAATCCACACCTGGCCATCCAGCTTAGTCATCTTTGCATGATCTTCAGGGGGCACCACATACCACATTCCATTCTCAAATTTCTTTAGCTTGCCTGACAGAAACAGAGCCAGATATAGTTAAGACAGAGTGTGAGGCACAGACACTGGAGGAAAGGTGGTTCACTGGTGAGGATGTTAGCTGAGGACTTAGAAGACCTACATTTGATTCCCTGCTCTACACAGATTTCCTGTGTCACTGTGAGCAAGTTACTCAGTGTTGTACTTCAATTTCCTCCCTGTATCTTGAGGATAAAGCAGTGTCAGGTGTGTTGAGTGTAAATATATTAAAGAGGTACTATGGTAAATACATTAGTAACCAGGATAGGAATAGGCAGAGCTATCCCAGGGCTTTATCACCTGAGTATTCACTCAGTTAATAAACTGAAATCAGGGAACATAGGCCTTAGCCTGTCTAGGATGAAATGCAACACAGAGCAAGTGTCATTGCACTGACCTAAGCAGACATGTAGGATTCTGTCCCCTGATCCTGAGGGTTGCCTGGATGTTAAAGCCAGTCTGCCTTATATCATGGCCTTATATCAAAGCTTCCCTATGATATGCCTCAATCTGTGATGGGGAGAAGGGATTGATTTTCTGACTTTGAAACTCTGTTGAGAGGAAGAGGGAAACCCCCAATGTTTCCAGCCAGCCTCTCCTCTGCAGCAGCAGAGCTCAGCTAAATGTGTAAATGGAGCTCAGCACTTGGCAGAGTTTCCTCCTCCTTTGACTGTAGCTACTTTATAAGTTGTGATCTCTACACCCCTGCCACTCCCCATCTCCACAGACTAAGCAGACTCTGCAGAGAAGAGCAGAATTTCCCACACTAGCCCCTGCCTTGCAATCTGGCAGCTGATGACCAAACATCTCCACTCAGCAAGTCTTTGACAGCTGAGCTAGATGCTCCCATTTTCTTCTGTGCTGTCCAACACAAAGATTTGGTACATCCCCTGCTGGCCAGTATGTTCTAACCTGGGGGAGCATTCCTTCTCTGACAAAGATGGGGTGCAAAAGAACTCCAGTGACAGGAAGCTGTCATGAACTCTGTAGCATAAAGTTAGTGTTCACTGGCACTGAAGTTCTTGCATGCAAAAATTCCCTAACCCAAGGATCAGTGGTGGGGGAGTGTGACAGGCATCCTAGGGGTCACCATGCTCTCCCCTAGTGCCCCCTTACCATGCCAAGTTGCCTAAAGGGCATCCTCCATTCTCGCCCACCACGTCTTTGATGTTATATATGTATTATAGGGAGGCTGCCTTTCTGTTCTTTTGGCCACGGTTTCCTGTTGTACACTAGCTCGTTCTATATTGGGTGTTTCTGTGCACCCCCAGCCTTATGGGCTATGCGTGGCTCCAACCACCCCTTCATCACAACCCAAGCCTCGCAGATGTAACAGACGTTGTTTGGTCTTACTTGATGTCTCACTGGTACTCGGGCTCTCCGCAGCCCTGTCTCGCTCTGCGCCTCACTGGTGATCTGGCTCTCCACAGCCTTGTCTCACTCTGCACCCCACTGGTGCTCAGGCTCTCCGCAGCCCTGTCTCACACTGTGCCTCACTGGTGCTCTGGCTTTCCACAGCCTTGCCTCACTTGGCGCCTTAATGGGCGCTCAGGGTTGACACACTCCCCCTGCTATGCCCTGTCTGGCACTCGGGGTTGGCACACTCCCGATGCTGCACCCTGTCTGGCGCTCGGAGTCGGCACACTCCCAGTGCTGCCCTTTTCTGGCATCTGGCAGTCACCACACCCTCTCTGGGGCTTCCCAAGTGCCGCCCCCTCTCTGGGGCCTCTCAATTTGCTGCCCACTCTCTGGGGCTCGGGTCCCCACTCTACTGTGAGTCCCCTATGAGGCCTCCTCCATCCCCTTATAGCCTCACCCAAGCCACCGGTTTAACAGCAAACAAAACACAAGCCCCTGGGCTATAACATAAGCTCGAGCCACCTGGCTATAACAACATTCGAGCCACCCCAAGGGTTCTCCATCTCTCACCAGTATCACGCTGCTCAGATGTTCAGGCTTCTACCCTTTGCTCACTCAAGCAGAGCTCCTTCCCCCTTAGCTGCCAGCAGGGAGCTGCCCGCCTGGCCTCAGCCCTGTGGGTTAAATGGGAGCCTAGCCCTGCCCCTTTGGGTCAGCTGACCGCTGGCAGATGTGGGCTCCTACCTCCCTCTGGTTGCCCTAGCAACTGGCACCTGGGCAGCTATCCCAGCTCTACCAGTAGCAGGCACCTTAGTGCCCTGCTACAGGAAGAGAGCCCTGCAGAGTGTTTAAGGCCAGGGACACTGTGAAAGAAAAGGAACAGAAGAACTAAATAGCAGGGTCCATGAAGAAAGATGACTAGTAGTTTCTGGCATCCGATTTAAACCTGGAAGGGATCATGGCTGTGCTCTCCATACTTACGTGCCTTTACTTGCTATTGTAGAGGCAGCAGCATCTGCCTTCATAGGCAACATTACCCAGATCAATCATACTGGGTAGTGGCTGAAAACATGGGAACCATGGTTGCCAACAAAAGAAAATGTTTTACTGACAATTTGCAAACTTTTTACTGACAGCCAAACTTATTAAAAAAACATATATCAGTAAAAATGTTTCAGCAAAAACTGTAAATGTAACTCTGCAGCCAGGCTTTGCTGGGTTTGCAAATTAGAAGGGCTGGGCTCTAATTTAGGCATCTAACATGGGCCATAGTAAATAAAAGTTTGTCAGTAAAAATTTTACAGCAAAAATTTTTGGGGGGGTTTATCAACTCTGCTTGACTGCAGCAATGATTTTAGGCTATGCTGACCTGGCACCCTCCTTCCTCACTGGTTAGGGACCCCCTACTCACTCCATACCCTGATGTCCTGACCACCCCCTGCACCAAAATGCTCCCCCAGCCTACTCTTTGCTGGACTTGCTTCCCTCCATCCCAGCCCAGACTCCCATAAGAAGCCTACATGTAACCCAGTAGTATTAAAGGCCACCTGGCATGCAGCAGCAGCAGCAGCACATGGCTGAGAGAATGCTCTCTGCATGGTGTTGTGTTCCCACTTGGACACCAAGTGGTGCTAATGTGCTATGTCTGTCCAAGCTTCAATCAAGCTCTGGCTGCTTAATGTTTTTACTGACAGCTAATTTTTTTTTTACTGACTTCACTGATAGCCATTTTAGCCTGAATTTTTATGACAGTAAATTTACTGATGGTTGTCAACCTAGATGGGAACACTAATGTGTATAGCCACTGATCTGCTCCACTCTAAGAATGCCTTTAAACTGGGCTTGAAGCATGCTTATTAAGCCTCTTTGGAACTCCAGTTTGGATGGGGTCTCAGTGATGCCAGCTGTGGAGGAAAGAGGGCACAGTTTCCAAGGGAGATTAGGGCTGATCAATAGGTCTTTTAAAACAGATCCTTGTGCATAACACATCCTGGTGCTCACTATAGGTAGAATTCATTAGAAAAGAGGCTCTTATTGATAAGGGTTCTAAGCTGTGTAGATGAATAGGAAATGCCAGTGTAGATATGCCAGGAAGAAAGGGTACCAAGCAATGGTCTCAGCCTGGATGTACAAGATGAGGTGAAAGGGGTTGTTAGATATACTAGGTTTGTAGTGATCTCTTTTGTTGGTCAAGATCAGGCTATGAACTGCCAGGTTTCAATGAGAGGTATAGGGGACATATTTGAAGATGTTGTTACCACCCCACCCCCACCTCAGCAGTGCTGTATCTGTCAACTGGCCCATGTAACCCTGTGCAGGAAGTGACATCCCATACCCAAAAAGGATGGGAGGAAGATGGGCCTGGCCAGAAAGAAATCTAAGTAAAATTTGAAAAGAATTAAGAACCGAGGGAACAACTTTCAGCTATTTCTTCCCATTTGGGGAACCCATTTACCCAGTGCTGTTCCAAGTAAAATGTGCAGCATTCCCACAGGTGAACAAAAGTATAATCCACACCTGCCGTGCGGCGGCTCCATGGACAGTGCTCCAACAGTTCTACAAAGAGGCAGGGCAGGTTGTGTGTGCTCAGCATCCGTGTCAGTGCACTCAGTGGAAGACTGCAGACAAAACCAAAAACTAGTGAAAACACCACCCCCAAGACTTTCATAGATTTTCATAGATTTCATAGACATTAGGGCTGGAAGGGACCTTGGAAGATCATCGAGTCAATTTACTCTTGAAGGTGTTCAATGTAGGTGCTTGAACCACCTCCAATGGGAGGCTGTTCCAGACCTTGGGGGCTTGGGCAGTAAAGAAATTCTTCCTTATGTTCAGCCTGAAACGGTCTCGCAGTAGTTTATGACCGTTTGACCTCGTCATCCCTTGGGTCACTCTGGTGAACAAATGTTCCCCCAGATACTGGTGGTCACCCCTGATAAACTTATAGGTGGCCATCAGATCACCCCTGAGCCTGCGCTTTTC